AAACTCATATGCAACCTTTTACATCAGAGACAGGTCTCTTCTTTTAGAATCATCAAGTTACTTGGCAAAAATCCTTCTGCTCTTTTAAGACTATCTCAATCATAGGTAAAAGTGAAATAAAAGTGCATTACACAAAAAGCAGGTATAGTCTAGTTTAAAGCAATAGGCTCTAAACCTATGCCCTTTCTCTCTTATTCCCTGCTCCCTTCATGAAGGTTTTTAAAAGAGGCAGGCATCAGCACTCTGCATTTCAGGGGTCATAACACGAAGCAGTTGCTGTTTGGATACCCAAAATAAAGGTCACAAATTCCCATTTTGATAGAAAAATACTGGTCTTTTGATGTAGTAAAGATTTGCAACTCTGGGGCTGATCTGGGCACTGGCAGTGTTTAGACATCTGAGGGGAAAATTCACTTGTCTGCGAGGTACTCAGAGAAGGGGCCTTGCCTTGCAGCCCAGCAGTGCCCGTGGATTGGGAACAGCCTGAAGAGAGGAGAGTGAGCTCTTTGCCCTGCACTGAGGGCTTGTTAGTGCTTCCAGGAATGTCAGGTTACCATAACAGGGGGAGTTGTTACGGAACCAGGGTCTAAAAAGTTTCATTTCTCTCCAGAAATCAGGCTGAGGTGGAGGAAGTAAAGCAGACTGTTTCCAAAGAGAGCAAATGAATATGTAAAGCAACAAACAGATGACAAAAGGATTTTTATATGAATCTTTTAATAATACATTGTTAGGAATGTTTACACTCTCACAATCAAATTCTGTGTATGTAACATGCAAATTTTTCTATTAGCTGATGGAGTAGCTAATTAAACACACAATCAAGATCCAGGAGATCATGATTGTTTCTTCAGAAATGAACAGTAGGAATGAAAGATCCAGGAGAAATGAAATAAATTATCATTATTTTATCTCTTGCATATAAACTGCTCAATAAATACATTTATAAATACCACAGAAATCACAATAAATAAATCCTGAACAGAGTCTCACACATTGTGTAGGTTAGGTTTTTCAAGTCAGAAATCCCAGTTCACAGTCTGGCCACGGGGTGACCATGGTCCAGGAAGCTATTGTTGACACAACATACTAGTGTGCTCCAGGGGAGCAGGAGGGTTTATCACTTTGCTGGAGTAATACCAAATGGTCAGACTTCGTGCAAATAAATGCTGCAAGTGCATAGCACTTCACTGGCTGTGTTTGGCTGAAGTGGCTGCCAAGGGCTCTTAGTTTCCTTCAGCAAACCACTCTTCCCTTCGGTGCCAATGGACAGCACATCCCACGGACAGCACTGACCGTTGTGAAAGACTTCCTTAAATACATGCAGTTAAATGGATAAATAAATTGATACATAAATAAACCCATCCAGAATTAGCATCTTGACACTGATGCAGGTGGTGGAAGATGGTGCACTGCCTGAATGATGCTTTTCCTGAATGTTTCTCTTGACAAAGGAGCAGTTCCCAGTTCCCAGATTTTTTCTGTCCTGGTATTTCTTAGAGCGGTGAGTCAGAGTTTTGTTGAGCCCTGTTAAGAGGAGAGGGAAGAGGATAATTTAAAAGGGGTTCGAGATGGTTATCACTGCTTAGCACTGTACCAACAGTTAAGCATGAGAGGCCTGTTTCTAACTGTGCTGTCCTGAGGCATCAAGCTGATGTTTCAAAAGCAATTACTGAAGTCCCAGTGTGTGCACGTCTGGTGCCCAGCTGGGAACATCTGCAGCATGAACTTCTGCATTTACTCACAGCATGAACCTCATTAACTCAAAAATAGGAATTAAGGAAGGGGAAGATGACTTTTTTATAGCCTCTTTTTTCAAAGGAAGCCAAACACTTCTGTGTTTCTGTCCCTGCAGACAGCGTTGTCACTACTCAGAGGTTTAGTACTGACATATCAGCTTGAGTAAGGGCCCTGCTGCAGAGTCAGAAAGACTAATTCTATAGTGCATTTCCTTGTTCTTTGAATCTGGCTGAGAGAAAATGGAAAGTATCACTAAGAAATACTACAAATTGGCTCTTTCTGGGAGGTTTACTGTGCAACTTGAGAGAGAATGGTACTTACTTGGCAAAAATTGCCTTCACGATCAGCTGCACCCAGGGAGCAGTGGGCTCCAAGCACACCTCTCTGCCATCCTTCAGAGTAGCTCTGCAAAACAGGGAATAAAGACAAGTCAGGAAACTGCTACATGGATTTGTTTTCCTCACAGAATGCAATATTGCATTTTTGGATTCATCCTGGCTGCTGTAGGTTAGACTCAAACATCTTGTTATATGTCTTTCACTTCTGAGGAGGCTAGAACTGTCCAGAATTGTGTGAGTCTCTGTGTCTGCTCTCAAAGCATTGCCAAAAATCTTGCTCAATATATATGGGTTCTTGGTTGGAATTTGTTTACATCAGTAGAGGTTTCTTAGGCAACAAGTGAAACCTCCAGTGCTGAAAAGGTGCTTCAGCACTATGAGAATTTCAACACTTTAGTCCCTCCTCCATGCTATTCAGACCAGTTTAGGTTCATTGTTTCCTTAAATCTGCTTGTGGGACCTTAATTTTTCTCCTTGACTGCCTAATAAATGCAGGATTCAAAATAGGTTATTCCCTCGTGTAGTAAGAACTGACAAGTCCTTGAAATGTATGTTCTTCCACTAGAAATACTTAATATGTCCCATGGCAGATAAATAATGATCGGTTCAGGAATATGTAAGGTCATAGAGTTGGTAAGAACACAGTGTACCATGTAAAGCCACCTCTCCCAAAGGAACAGCCAGCCCTGACTCCCTCAGGCCAGCCTGTCATACTCCTGGAGCCCCAAGCCCCCTCAGTGATGGCAGCAGCAGGGGGAAGGGGAAGGGGAAGGGGAAGGAGGCTCTTGCAGAGCTACTTACATCACTTCAACATTCTTGCAGTGGGGGCCACTCTGTGTCAGCTTCACATCCAGGATGGACTTTGGAGGGATGAACCTGGAGTGAGTGGCTATGCACTGGCACCGGAGTTCGGTTCCCATCCTGAGTAGAGGCTTACCTGTGAGCAGAAAAGGCAGATTGGGGTTTGACAGGTGCTCTTATCATCACTACCTCAGACACAAAGAACTGCTGCTCTATTTTAACAGCATTCTCAGTTCAAATACTGCATTTGTTCAAGCTGCGTAAGTCTTCGTGGTATAAAGATCAGCTGCCATTTATTTCAGAGCTGATGCACAAGTACGTTTGAAGCTAAATTAGCACGTTTTAAAAACGATCCCACGTATTTCATAGTGACTTGTACTGACTACACTGTGCAATCAGTCGCATTGTTTTAATATCTGGATCAAAAACACTTGGCCACTCTGCAGAAGGCAGAGCCCTAGATTTGTTCATTAACTGGAGGGTTGCCCATGTTTCTGTGTTCATACTGTTTGTTCTCCGTTCCCAACTGCATATTCCTTGCCTGAGGCAGTATTATCACTAAGTAACAAACATGACATGATAAACTCTTCTTAGTGTGGGAAGGGAGAGAAACATTTGATCCTGTCTCTAGCCAAATGCACTCGAAAAGAAACATAGAAGTAAAGCAAATCCAAGTTGCATACTTAAAATTTTTCCCACAAGATGTCAGTACCTCTTCAGTCCAAGGACTACATGGTAGACTTGTGACTGAAGAGAGGTGCTGAAAATCCCCCAAAATAAACTAATTTAGTGAAAGAAATAGAAAGCTACTTTGCAAGGAGAGGCATCTCAGTGGATGCCTGGACAATACTCCATCCCTGGGGAGCTTGGCAGGCTTTGCTTACCTTGAGACACAGCAGCTGAAATGAGGAGGAGAGCCAGGATGGACACGAGTTTGCCGTTCATGGTTGGGCAAGAGGTTTGCACGGGGCTGTTCAGCTGTGGCTCTGTGCAGCAGTGCCCTGGTGTCCCGGAGGGTTGTTGGTGTCTGCTCCTGGTGATCCGTGGTGCTTATATATCATTTTGTGCCCAGCCTGTGAGCTCTGCTGGCACAGGGACTGCGTTAGAGGAATTTCCCAGATGCAGTAACCATGAGTCACATGACTATTGTGAAACTCCTTCCTAGATGACGATGAATTATTCTGCTGAGAATGATATAACATTCATTTATTAAAATATGTATATAATAGGTATGCGTGCTGATTTCTTTTGGAGACTGGCAATTTTTGTGCTTTTTCACATGCATACCCTTATCTAGTAAGATAAGTTTGGGATAGTTTCAGTTATATTTATGTTGTCACTTTGTATTGTTTTCTTCATGGTTATAACTGTTCTTTGTAGGGACACCAGGTCTACACTTGAGGCCATGAATTTCTTATCCCTGTTCATGCTTTTTCATACCTGATTTAAGCCACTGGACTGGAATTTGGGAAGTACCGCAGTCACTGAAAGCTTTCACTGGGATCAGGACTTTAGCTTAGCACTATTTTGATGTAAATGAGTTTCGTTTTTGTTCTTGGTTTGTTGTTTTGGGGTTTTTTTCTGTTTAAGTGGCATCTTACACAGTAAATCCATTGCTAATATCAAGGAATTTAGGCTGCAATACTCAAAGCTTCCTGTGGGAAGCAGATATGGAAATCTGAATGGCTTTAAATACATGCCTGTGCTTTTCATGTCGCACACGTTAACAAATGACAAACAGAGAAAGATTTATATGCAAACCTGCTCAACGCAACTGCTTTTGTTTTCTTTGTAAGCCCAGATATTTTTGATGAGCCTTTTCTGAAATCTCTTTCGGTGACTGTAACCCTAGGTCTTAGCAAAGGGGGATAACAGTATTATGGCACTGTATAAACTCAGTTTTGTTCAAGAATCTTGTTGCATGAATGCTGAGTGTTCATCTGCTGTGGCTGGTAGAAATATTGCCCTGAGAGACAATTTCCAGGGAAATTTGGGCTCCAATGCTTTAATGAAGATGTGGGGTTTAAACCCCTCTGGAGTGTGGGAGATGAGAAGGAGCCATTCTGTTTCACCACCATAAACACTTTATCCATTTGATGTGATGCCTTTTCTTGCTTGCCATCTCCTAAATCTCAGAACTTCCTGTTTCTGGGATGTGTGGCTTGACAGAGGTACTTGTCCCCAGCTCCGAGGAGTTCATAAAAATTCAATCATCTTTAGCATGTAAAATATGTTTACTCTACCATTTATCATTAACTTACTTTATAAAGGGAACTTTGCCATGAAAATTAATTTGTTTCTCATTACTACATCAGCTGGCCCAAGAAAAGACCAGCAGCTTTCTCTCTCCTGCCTCTTAATGAGTACTGACTCAAAAGATACAGATTTTGACTCTTAATGGTGCTGCTCCTTAGCTCTGTCTTAGATAACCTTACTTAAGACCACATTTAGTTCCCTGAAGGTATGCAAAAGGAGAGGGTTTTCCAGGTACTGAAGGTTTTGGTTTATTGCTGATGTTGTGTTATGATGTACATGTTATGTTATATTAACATGTGATTTCACTGGTGTCAGACTGTAGATGTTGGATCTTTAACCAGTTTACTTGGAATGAGATTTTGCTGATTTTCTTTTGTATCCTCTCTCTCTCTGCGTCTCCACATATGCATGCACACACAGACCTTGATTAACATTTGATTAGGGATCCTAGTTAGTTACTATTTGCAGCTTGATTATCTAATTTTGGTGTGTGTTGAAGTGTTATTAATTTCTGAGGGGGAAAAAGAGAATTTCCCCTCCAAATTCCCAAGTGAAAGCGGTGACTGTGCTCCTTGTCGCCAGACCCAGCTATTTCCTGCCTGTGTCCATAACGGATCTGCAGAAATCCCCAGGGCAGAAGCAAAGCCAAGAGCCTGCTCCACCTAGGGTTAGCCCTGCCCCGGAGCTACGAGTATCTGTCTAAGGGAGCAGAATGTTTGTAATGGAATATAAATGCACTATGTTTTCTGGAGGCTGAAGCATCTCCTCTCCCTCCACCTTCTGGCTGATGTTACAGTTTCATCGGGACTGTGCGAAGGGGTGTAGGAGAGACAGTAGTGGCATGAAAAGGCTGAGGCATGTGTTCAAGCACAGGGGCACTCCTAAGCTGTGTTCCTGGGAGTGCCCTGTTTCACCCAAGTTCTCCCTACAGCCCTTCAACACTTTGCCCAGGATCTCATCCAGGCTTCTGCCATGGGAACTGCATATCCATTAGCAGATCCTGGTAGCGTGTGTTTCTCTGCCAGCCACCAGGGATGACTTGTGTAAATGGAATTGCTGCTCCTTTTGAAGGATCACGTCACTGAGTGAGCTGATACTGCCTCGAGCAGGCACCTTCCATTCCTAACCCTGTTAAAACCACGCTGGAAGCGGACAAACCAGCAGTTAGGCAATAGTCCCAGCACAGAAAGAGACTGCTGAAAAGGAAATAAATACCTCCCCTGCCTCTATCTGAGGCAGGATATAGGATGTGTTCTCTGTGTCGCAGGATGGAAACTAGTGGTGTTTCATGACTAATCACCTAGTCTAATGAGCACAAAAGTCAAAAGGGTGTATTTTAGGATCTTTATTGGGGTGGCTTAGAGTCTTTGCGTGTAACAAAGGACACACACACACAAGGGACACAGTAAGGGGGATTCGGGTGTGCTCCAGTGGCCGAGCCCATCACTAGCGATGGGGGAGAGCTGCCCTTCAGTCCTTGTTGGTTTGAGCCACACAGCTTCCAGAGGAATGCTCCAGCTTCAGGGCTGGTAAAGTTACTTTGAGAAAATGAAGAATCTGTTTTGTTTAGACAGAGTCCAACCTCTCATTTGAGAAGTTGCACACGCAAAGGCCCATGACACAAAGCTTTTGCTGGAATGAGGGTTCAACCTGCACAAGGTGAGCTCTGTCAACTCCTGTCTCCTGTGTGTCCTCTCTACCAGCTCCTCTTGCTCCCCAGGGAATAAATCCCACTCTGTCTTCTGAAACCCCCTTCTTTCTCCCACAAAGCCTTGGCATTCACCTGCCATTCCACTTGAGCTGCAGAGAGCTGAAGAGACCAATACAGGACCTGGGACATAATCGCTTCCGCTGCTCAGACGCTTGGTGCAATGTTGTGCAAACACTCGTGGAAGTTTACAGTGGGGCAGAGCTCAGGGAACGGATGTGTAAAAAGCAAAATGCAGGGATTTGACTCACTACAGGAGGAAGTAAGAGCAAGGAAAGGAGAAAGGCTTAGGTCAGCCTGTGGGTTTTTTCAAAGTTCAGTGCCTAAATATAGATGGTTATGTAGCCTTAGACAGATCATGGCAAATGCTGGACTTTTCTGATCCCTCTGGAATCACAAAACATTGGTGTGGCTTTCCAGTTGTTTTGTCTTTTAATTTATAATGTATTCACAAGTACAGTGGGATATTATCTATTCATGTGACTGCACATTTATGACACTTGCTTCAGCTCTGCTTGAAAACAGTCAGTTCTGTGTTGTAGCTTTGTGAGTTAGAGGAAATGTTTCATTTGACAAAATTCCATGTGAAAAGTCATTGAAAATATTAATATATCTAGCAATATTACAAAATGATAAATTAATATTCATTGTAGTGTTAACATAAAATATTGGCAAATATTAACAAATATTCATACTAAAAATTAATCTGATCAGAGCCAGAGCAGTTACTAAATCCATCTAGGAAATTGTTAGGGACCAGCATCTGAGCTCTATCTGCCGTGTCAAGGCTGCCTTTGCTGCTGAGTTGCATTTGCCTTTCATGAGTTTGTCCAGACGCGTTTTCTGGCTGTGCAAAAAACAGCTGGGAGTGGTGGGAGGAAACACATGGTCAGTTTTAAGAAGTTCTTGCCAGGAACTTCTGATCCAATTAGGAGCTGCCAGTGGCCATAGCACACATCTCACATTCATCTCTGACTCCTCAGCTGCTGCGTGCTGGCACCTCTTCGTCTGCTCGCACTGCAGCCCATGCAGCTGGACAGAGGTTAGCCCTGACACTGCCTGGCAGTGCCATCTCTGCAGGGTGTGCACAGGGATGGAGAGTGCACTCGGGTGACCCCAGGCAGGCAGCCTGCCTGTGAAAGGTGGGCAGAGATGGAGACTCCTGGGTCTTGAATAAAAATGTGCCATGGAGTATCCAAATGAAATCTGTTTGGCATAAAAGCTGTAATAGGTAAGCTTGCTGATCCATTGAATCTCAAACTGCTGGACAGGTCAAATCTTCCTGCTCACCAAAACTTGGGGAGGCAGCAGGAGGAAGGGACTGTGGATGTATTCAGTCAGTTATGGATTCAGACCTGAATCCAGAGATGCTTTTGTTTTGTGGTCTAACCCTACCCCCCACCTCCCACCCTGGGACTCAGAAGATTCAACTCCACAGGGATTTCTGAGTCCTTCATTGCTCTCACCATGTATCTCTGGTCTGGTGATTGCTGCTAGAATCTGCCCTTCAGCATATCCTCTCTCAGAAATAAGATATGTATTGCCAGGCGTAAACAATGTGTAGCAAATCAATAACATCTTTAGCACCCTTTTTGAGTGTAGAAAGAAATCAGCATTAAACCAATGTTTTCTTCCATAAGCTTTCCCCTGGACCCTTCAGCAATAACACAGAATAGGTATGAAGGCTGCAAAATCCTTTTCAAAGCAAAAAAAAAGTGGTCTATTACAGTGTCAGGTAGAACCAAAGGGAGAGAAAAAATAATGTGTTCTTTTCTTCAGAAATATGATCTCTAAGCTTCCCTTGTTGTACAGGTGTATGTGTCTCTCTCCCTGCATCTTCCTGTCTGTAAGGAGAAACTACAACTCAATAAATAAAGACAACACAGGTGATTTAGTATCTCTAATTTTAGCTGCTTCCTTCTGACAGCCATGAACTCACAGTCATTCCCCCGAGGCTGGCAGTGACTTGGAACTGTTGATGAGACAGCAAAGCACCTCACAGGAGATAGTTTAGGTGGCAGCCTGTGCTTGCTTGCACCTGTGCTGCAGGTACACCCAGTCAAATACTCTGTAGCTAAAGTCACTTGTAAACATTCATTCCCTGATCTGCTATGCCTATTGTACACCTTAGAATCACCCCGAGATCTCTCTCATATGTGCTAATGGTCAGCCTAGAATGTCTTATTTGTATAGTACCTGTGTAATTTTGTCCTATGTCATTCTGTTTTCCTGCTTCCTGCAGGGAATTTCACCTGGTAGTTCGTTGCCTAATCAGAGTCTCTCCTAAGGGCTTTCCACAGTTCTTCATAGTTGAGCCTTGTCTTTACATCATCGTTTAGCATCATCAGGGTGGTGCAGGAGTCCACGGGTGATGTCCCTCTATTGCTAAAAGCTGATCTTTCATTCTATCCTTCATCTCCCATCATTTATCCCTTTCCAAGACTTCTTTCTTAGCCTTGCTAGTTTTAGTGTTTGGTGAGGGCTGTGAAGGGATTTCAGAAGGACAATTTGACTGTACCGCCTTGCTATTTTTAGTGTTTGGTGAGGGCTGTGAATTGATTTCAGAAGGACAATTTGACTGTACCTGTGGGACCTGCCACATCCATAAGCTTCTTGTCACCTTCAAGAAAGCCCTAACAGGTGTGTGAAAGATGACTTCCTTCAAAGCTACACAGACTCTTCCTTATTATATGTTTCTTCATGGGTTTGTTAAGTGTTGTGGCTTTTTTTTTTAGTGTTTGGTGAGGGCTGTGAATTGATTTCAGAAGGACAATTTGACTGTACCTGTGGGACCTGCCACATCCATAAGCTTCTTGTCACCTTCAAGAAAGCCCTAACAGGTGTGTGAAAGATGACTTCCTTCAAAGCTACACAGACTCTTCCTTATTATATGTTTCTTCATGGGTTTGTTAAGTGTTGTGGCTTTTTTTTTTTTATTTGAAGTAAGGGTAACTAATTTCATCTTATTTATTTGCGTCCTTACAGCACTGAAACACATTCATTAAGCTTGAACTCCTTGATCCATCACAGTTAGAGTTTTAGAGACAGAGACAGTAAAAGGAATTAAGAAGAATCAGCAGATGTCTCAGGGAAGGAAAAGTAATCAACTGTAGTAATGCAGCAGAGGGTGGGTCTGCTCCTTGGCATTCTCATCACCAAGTGTTTTCTCTCATCTCATATCTTTGAAGAACTCCAAGGTATAATTTTCCTCAGCTTTTGTTTGGCTGGTGCCTCTGTATTGTCCCTGGCCCTGTAATGTGATGAAGTATAAAGTGAATTCAGAAACTTAATGAAGAAACGTTTACTATGAATACAAGCTACAGGGAGAGCACTAAGTGCTCACGAGTTGTTAATGACCTGATTTACTGTATCAACCAATTGCAATATGTGCAAAGACAAAAAATTCCTGTGTTCATGCAAGAACTGCTCCAACAGAAAGGACTTCCATGTGCCTGTATGCATTGGAGGGATGTGACTGCCCCCATTTACAGCAGTGAAAGCTAATAAGCTTGGAAATGCCAAGCTGCACATCTGAATTATAGCCAGAAAGAGCAAGTGAGTATTTTAGAGCTTGACTTTGTGGAAGCATCAAACACACACGAGCTAGGAAACTACTTAATCCTCAGGCATGTAGAAATACTGATTCAGAGAGAACTGTTGGAAAGAATCACCAATGCCTGAAGAGGGTAAACATTTCCATGCCAAGAATTAAAATATGCCATCTAAAATGAGCTTTTAACTGAAGCTATTCTAATAAAGAGGACAACTCACCTGGCCAACAGAGCCTTCACAGTGAGCCAGACCCAGGGCGCCGTGGGTTCCAGGCACACCTCTCTGCCACCTCTCAGTGTAGCTCTGCCAGAAACAGACAAAGAACATAGGGCTGTGTGGGTTCATGGTGGTTGGAAATTTCTCTTAGCCATTTCTCCATGAGGTAACTCAAGGACATGCCTGGTTTTGGTTTGGGTGTTGGCATTTTTTATGATTGATGTCAATATAGGCATTTATGCTGTTATCATATAATGAGCCTGATGAATTTGCTATGTGGTTTCAGTTCCCTATCTGGTCATAGCAGATATTTCAGGAACTTAATTACCTTGGAAATTATTTGCTTTTAACCAAACCTGGCTGAAATTATCAGTTCCTAGTGAGAATTCCTATTTGTGTCCTGAATATGTTATAGGGATCTAATTCTCTCCTCTAATGTTGGTCATAATTAAGACAATAGCAGAGAGTTTTAAAATGCTGCCCAGAAGCTGCTTCTAACATCAGCAGGGAATTAGCTCATTCCTTTGGACAGAAGGCCTAATTCCTGATACTTGGTGTCTATGAGGCTTCCATCCCACCCAAAGTACATCAGTAACCAGGGTGAGAAATGCCCAGTCACTTCCCCCTGCTGAAAGCAAGATGCTATTTAGAGAAAGTGCTCACATGATTTCCACACTTTTGCAGTGAGGTCCTCGTTGGCTTAATCTCACATCCTGGACAGTCTTGGGAGGGATGAACTTGGAATGAGTGCTTATGCACCGGCATTGGGAGCCTTTATCCTCTGTCTTCTCCAGGGCCTTACCTGTGGAACAAAACTCAGTTATGTCTAGGTAAACCCACAGTTTTCCCCCATGAAACACAGTGGATTCCCTTCTGTCAGCCTGTCTCGTTCCTCAGACACTGATTTGCTGGACACTGAGATAAAATGAACTTAATCTGCACAACAGCAGCAGCTGAATTTTCAGAGCTGTTTGTGTGCAGATGCATTTGAAGTTAAACTTGGGTTTCTAAGTGAAAATGTTTGGATGTTTTCATGGTGCTTTTGTGCCTGGTCATGTTCTACGCCTAAACTGCATCGCTTGAACAAAGTGGGTTAACATCATTAACTGTATTCACATATTGTTCATTGGTTTCTGCTGTGATCATATTCTTTATTCTTAATTCTATCCTGCAAATGGGATAATTCCTGCTCTGAGGAAACATTATCATCCACCTGCCAACCAAGAATATAAGCACAAGTAGAAGAAAATTGTCATTAGGAAAAGAAGAGATTCATGGACATATTTAGGAAAAAAAATGGTCCTGCCTTACTTCAAATGATTCTTTCAATCTAGAGAAAAGCATATATTATGGCAGAGGAATAAACTAATTTCCTGACAAAAGCATATTTTACCCCCAGAAACATCCACAGCATCCCAACAGATACAAATTGTCCTTTTTCCTTCTGAATGGCAGTTTACTGAAGATGTACATCTCTCACAGAAAGGCATCATGAACATGGCCTAAGCCCACCTGCATTTGCATAAGTGCAGTCATTAACTGGCTATGTGAGTTTTAGGAGATCATTTCCTTACCTTCTGACCCTGCCACTGAGACCAGACAGAGAACCAAAGCGACAGCAGCAGATTTGCCATCCATTGCTGTGCACAAGTTTTCTCTTGACAGATTTCCAGCTCTGCTGCTAATTCCCATTAGGTTTTATACCTGAGGTGCTCTCCCAGCAGCCCGAGTGAGTGCTGAACAGGTGGGTTCTGCACACACAGGTTTCCTAATACAAGAGGGTGTTGCATAAGAAATCCAAATCTCTGTGCAGTCCACTCAGTAGCACTTCAAACTTCCCTAACTTCTGCTGCTGTATATGTTCAATTATTGCTTTAAATTTTAACTGTTATTCATCACCTGCTGTTTGTGCCTCTTCATGGGGTATTAGGTTTAACCAACACTGCTGAGCTTGCAGTTGGAAATCAATACAGCATTACCAGACATCCCCCTGAGCCAAAATAAAGGGACTTTTTTCCTCCTCTCTGAATACAGAATTTCTGCTCAGCTCTTTGCGTCATATTTAAATGCAGTGTGCAAAAACTCATACCCAACATAATTCCAGGGGCTTTTCGTCCCAGTCGTACAGACTGTGTTTTGATATGATTCCAAGGAAGTTATTTAGCCACAGACTTATGAAGGCAAGACATAACTAGATCCTTTTGTTCTCTGAAAGGATTTTGTCATTTTCAGTTTGGCTAAAGGGATTTAGATACTTAATTCTGTACTGAAATGCTTCTCTAATCATTGAACAGGAAATGCTGAGCTTAAAATGACTGAGGCATTGCCACCAAAGTCACGTAAACTCTTCTGAAACCTTAATCTGTTCAGAATATGAAAAGAGAAAGTATCCAGCAGTAAGAGTTGTAATGACACCTGGCTAAAATAAGCACTTAGGAGGTTGCTTATTTTTCTTTCTAACCTCTTGCGTCTAGAATAATCACAGGTGTTTACAACAGCAGATAAACACATGTCACAAGTGACTTCTGTCAACACAGGAGGACAGCCCATGTCTGACACGGGTTGTCATTGACCCAGAGGAGCTGCAGTGCTCCTCTTAGCAGTCTCCAAGAACACTGAAACACGTTTTAGGAAGCATGAGGGTGGTTGTTGTGCTCCTAAGAAAAGTATTCTGTGAGGGCACATGAAACAGAGATGTGATACGTTATCATGGTAACTTGACTGGGATTTTGCTGGTGGCAAAAGTTAGGTATATCTATACAGCACCAAAACTGGTGCCAGTCCTTTAGGATGTACCTATACTTCTATGGCTGTGCAGATCAAGTGGTTCTTCCCCACCTCTCCTCATTCTTGGCTGATATTTCTGACATCCTTATCTCCAAACGAGATCTCCGAAAGCATCCAGCTTGTAAAAATCCCCCAGGAAACAGGAAGGCTCAGAGCTGTAAGGCAAGCCTGAACAAAACCTGTCCCCTTGAGAAACTCTGACTCCTTCCCATTCTGAGGTCTAGCAGGCTGTGCAGTGCTGTGCTGTGGGAAAAGGGCAGACATGGGGACAGGGAGCAAAGTGTGGTCGAAATAGTTGTCTTCTTGCACAAGAGCTTGCTCAAACAGCACCAGAAACTCCCATTTTGTCTTACACCATGAGCAAACATGAACTGTTTGTGCAGAATATGGAGTAGTTCCTTGCTGGAAAAGGCCAAAGCAAAACAAATATCAAACTATTTGCTCAGCTTTCCTCAAGCATTCCCTGCTCATATTCCAACATTCCTCTGTAGGTTGCTGTGCCACAGTCAAATGTGTGGCTGTACAATCAGAGCTCTGCTTCTTAGGGTTTCCTCTGATTGAGTCCTCCTTCTTCACTGGAACTGGGGAGGATGCTCGCTGACTTCCCTAATGCTTGTCAGAGTTGCCTGCTTATTTAGGTTAATGACAACCCTTGTTCACTGCCATGTTCCCAGTGCTGTGCTGTCACTGCTATGGCCTCTGTGCCTAACCAGTATTTATTCAGCACTGCCTGGGACTTTTATCTCCCAGACACCTGAAAACAGAGTCTCACCAGAAAAGAGGAAGAAAGAAGATAATCCTTATAATTCCTCTGATTGCAACTTATCTGCACTCCACAGAGACAATGATTGTTGTAAGTAGCTGCCCCCACCACTCACACCACTCACCCTTCTGGGAACTCATTGTGTGATACAAACTGAAAGGGCTTCCTCTTTTTTTTCAGTTCTCTATTTCAACAAGGAAATCAATGACACACAACATCACAGTGCAAACATTTCAACAAGCATTTATTAGGTACATAAACATTTTCCCATAAATAAATAAATAAACATCAAAGACCAGCTACATTCATATGCAAAAGGAAATAAATAGGCAAAAATAAATTATAGAAATTGAAAAAATAGAAATTCAAAAATAAATAATAGAAATAAATATAAAAAAATATTCTAGCCAAAAGATGTCATTAAAATATATGTTTCTGCCTTCACAACACTAATTCACAATCAATAACATTGTGAAAACGATGGCACAAGACCTGATGTGTCAGAACTTTGCTACCCTATTCCTGTGAGCTCCCCTCTTTGGCCAGAAGCACACTGTGAGCTGCACAGGTACAGTCCTCGCTATCTGTCCATGCTTTGCTGCTCTGTCCCTAAACTGTTAGCAAGAAGGGAAGGAGTGATTAGTGGAAGCTATGCTGAGTGTGCCCTGCACTGATCCAGCTGTGTTTAGCAAAACTTCCTCCCGAATCCTGTCAGAATCCTTTCCCAGGACATTTTTTTCGGCCTGCTTGTTCTGGTGTCAGTGGTTTTCCTCCTACATGATGACTAAAGGTACTGTTGTCAACTAACTAGAAACCAGGGGATGCATGCATGAAAGGTGTGAATGGAGGATGCAGGAGGAGGCGAGCTTCTGGAAGCTGGGTGAACATCTCTCCTATTTTTGCCTCGCTGGAAGAGTTAGGGCGCTTTCCTTCTTTGTCCTAGGACACTGCCACAGGTTTGGGGTTTGCCCTAGAAAGAAAGAAGATGGAAAAGGAGGTAATTAGAACTTGTCCATGGAACAGGTAAGACTTAGTGGTGTCAACTGAAATCCACCACTTTGCTCTTCTGTGCTCAAGCCCCTGAAAAGCTGTAACTGTACTGAAGGGACCCTAGTACATCACGACCTTCTCACAAGTGCTCAGGAACTCTAGGCTTCCATAGCCTGATGCTTCACTTGACAACTGAAGCCTGATTTTTCCTCCACTTATCTAAGTTCCATCAGCTTGAAAAACTGATTGTTGCTTTCTGCCACTGCAGACAAGAGAAACCCAGTGAGTTAATGCCTGGATTTCCTGAGCAGTTGTGCTGCAAGTTCTCAAAGTCTTGAGAGACGTGAAGGTAACATTCCATGGGTGCATGGCACAGTAAGGCTTCAACAGCTAATGCTATAATTAAAGCTCAAAGTAATCACAGTGTTTGTCACAATTAGTGAACACAAACGGTAGTAAGTGCCCGAGGAGACAGAATTTTGGAGCACTTCACTCCATAAATGTTCAGTAGCTCAATTAAGATACCGGTTTTCAATAGCTATGCTCATTGAGAAGGCATGACTCACTTGTCCAGGATTGCCTTGATGATCACCTTCACCCAGGGAGCAGTGGGCTCCAGGCACACTTGTCTGCCATCTGTCAGGGTAGCTCTGCAACAGGGAAAACAGGGAAAAGTTGATTCCAAGTCAATGCTGCTTTTCTGTCATAACATCCTTCTAGGCGTACACTGACATCTTCCCCTTTAAGCCGTATCCATTGAGGCTGCAGCCTAACAGAGAGGTTTTTTTAAAAAACGGGTTTGTATCTTCTCATATCTGTTTGTTTGATGCATTAAATCATTTGCAGGACTCTCCCTCTTTTCAAAGCTGCTTCTTTTTTTCTCCCCAACTTGCTTTGTATTTGTGTTGTTTTTAACTGAAGGGCTAAACCTTTCTATTCCGTTTCAGAAACTGCAGTGCCCAGTCCAAGGGAACTTGGTTACAGTAAGGGTTCTGGAATAAGACCACATGATATAATTTATATGCTAATGGGGTTTTTTCATTGACTTGAGTAGAAGTGTGATCACTTTTTTAACCTAGCCCTTAAAATGGATGTTTGATCACTTGCTCAGCATGGCTCTGTGCCTTCAACCATCTTTTCACACACTGGTAGAGTCCAGAGTTTTAGCAAGTTATTTGCTGCCTGTTGACTTCAAGTTTAGGTCAAAATATAGAACGGGATGTTTAAAAAGTAGAGATTGGCAAAACAAACAGGCAGTTTACAACACGTAGTGTAGCACTGGTATGAGCAGTGAGTACTGCTGTTCTGTGCTCTGAGCAACTGTGCTCCAAGCAGCTGGTTACGTCACTCAGAGAACACTTACATCATCCTCAGTGCAAAACCTGCTTCCTTCTCCTTAAGTAATTGAGAGGATTTTGCAAAAGCACTTACATGACTTCCACATTTTTGCAATGAGGCCCACTTGGGCTGAGGTTCACGTTTTGGATGAACTTGGGATGGATGAAGCGGGAATGGGTGCCCACGCACTGGCACCGGAGTTCGATGGCTGAGCGTGGCACGGCCTTGCCTGGAAGACACAAACAAATGGAGTGTTTCACTAATTCCACAGCAAGTACAGCACATTCCTTTTGCCTACAGCATTAGAAGAGTTCTTTGCTGTGCTGGTAAGATAGCACAGCACCTCTCCATCAGCATTTGCAATGGCACTTATTCAGGAGAGCTTTAGCGAGGGTTTCTTTACCTTGTGTTCCCACTGCTGAGATCAGGAGCAGAGCAAGAATAGCAGCCACAGTCTTGCCCATCATGATATGAGTGTGTCTTCCTCGAGTTGCCTGGGCCTGGTTCTGAGCTGGGATGAGCTTCAGCAGCTCCTGTGCCTGTGCTCTGGGCCCAGCCGTGTTTATATGCTGCCTGGGCTGCCCTGTGCACTCAGGCATCACAGCTGGGTCATACCCACGGAAACTCCAGACCCGGGAGATGCTACTGTGCCATGAGTCACAGGTGAGTGGGTAAGCCCCTTTCCCTCCATGACCACAGAATGGTTTTTCATTAACAGAAAGCACTTTATTAAGTATAGACAGATAGAACTGCCCTGTACTTAGCTGTGTTGAGTCTGTAGGGGGTTGTCATTCTGTATTCCTTGTGATAATTTTCTACTGAACTTTCATACTCCTTGAGACTTCCCACTGCTGTTGGAAGGCATGTGTTCTATGATTTTCCATCTGTGTGTCTTTGGGCTTTGGTTTTTCATTTCAAGACATAATAGAAGCAGGAGCTGATACTTGTGGAAATGACAGATATTAGCTCCCCTTGTCCTCATACACACATTTTAAAAATTCATTTTTATGCTAAGAGTATTGTTGATAAATCCAGATCTAGTGTCACTAGAATAAGCCACAGAGCCCAGACTGACTTTGTTGTACTATTGAGAACATACAGAATATATGATTACAACATGATGAATTGCTTTACCTAACCTAAGATGGATTTTATTTTCTGATGATGGCTGCTTCTTCTGATGCCTAAACTCCTTAGCTGTTTACTGCTTTGAATTTGGGCAGAGGAAAATTCTAAAAGCTGCTGCAGGATTCCACTTCTAAATAAATCGAGGCACTTTTGCAAACTTAAATGTGACCCCATAAAGAGAAGTTTTCTTCTGATTATGCTAAAATCAAAGGGAAAATGAAGCTGGGATCACAAAGGAGGATAATTCACATAAAGTCAGAGATGTTCAACGGTTTTTGTTAACAGTGTAGACAAACACTAAAACACAAGTAGACTTTCTTTGGGTGAAACATTAAGGAATCCTGTTATTGTGCTTCTGCCAGGTAGTGGAGACAGTCAAAGAAACAACGCACAGGACCAGATGTGAATGATTTTAGGTCATTTTTTTCTGACTTGTCATGAAGGACACAGAGATTTATGTATGCCAGACCGAATTTCACTTACTGTAGCCGTATTTGCCAGTGTCTGTAGTTACAAATAGTCTTAGAGAATGTGATCTGAACAGTAGCCTAACAAAAGGTGTAGTTATGGAATTAAGTCCCTGGTTTTCCTGTCACTTTCCAGCTTGCAGTGAACATATCTGGATTAGCTGACAGAGCACACAAGCACTTCATTCCAGCTAGAGGTCTGTCCAGCAAGTGTCCTCTTCACCCACAGCCATCAGCAGGTGGCTAGGAACCCATAAGAAAAGATTAAGTGTCTTTGAGGCTTAGCCCTAGTAGTGTCCCACTCTGAGCCTGGTTTCATTTCCAGCATCCTGATTCTTTTGTGGGGAAACAAGTAGATATTGATCCTTGCCCCTGATTTCCACCTCCTTCAGAATTCTGCATGCCTTTATCACATCTTCTCTTCATGCACAATGCTGTCGTGTTGCCTAATGGCACGGACTGGCTTGCTCACTCCTATCTCAGGGCTTTGTGTTTCCCTCTAACACACTCTGTCCATGCACAACAGAAATGAATACTCAAATAGCTGTGTCTGGCCTGCAGACAAGGAGAAAACGGAAGGATTAATTGCATTGCCTGAGGAGTGTAGACCTCTTTCCCAAATAAACCCAAGAAGCTGTTATTCCGTGCTAATTTCATTAGTGATTTTCATTAACTCAGAGTGAAAATAATTGCTCCTGTACTCTCTATGCTTTTATCCTTTGTCTTCCTTCTGTACACCCTTCTGCCTGTTGGCTTTTAAGGAAATGTTATTTCTGCTTTCTTTATCCAGACAGATCAGATGTTTGTGGCTCTTGTACACTTCTACTCAAATAAAAAGAAAGGAAGGGCTTAGGTGTTTTATGCCTATCACAGGTGGCATACTGATTACAGTACCACAATTCCTGATTTGGAGTAGTGGGAACAGCTAAGAAGAGAGCTGGAGGCTGTACTTTGACCTGTGATTGAAGAGCTAGTGAGCAGAGTGCTCAGGAGTGGCCTTCAAAGAACCCACAGTCAACAAAATTCCTCTTGTGGCTACAGAGAGAAGTCAGAAAAGATGAACTCCAAATGAAAAAATCACATGCTTTATTTAAACTCAGTGACATGGACACAAGAGAGGGAGGAGCTGCTGTTCCAATTTCTTTACAAGGACCTAGTTTTGGAGAGCTGAGGCAGGCGATTAAGAGCTGCTGAATTTCGAGTCCACACAATCTCCGACTGAAGAAAATCATTCTTAAGGCTTAAATATGAGTATCATAAATAATATCTGGTAGCCTCCAGCTGAATAAACACTTCTTCTGCCATAAGGGTCGTAAATACAGTTATTGAGAAGCTTCAATTTTCTTGCCTTAAGAGAGCACTTAACACCCAGCAGGTGATCAGATTTCTGAGTCCTGCTGAGCAGTGTATGGCACAGAGGAATGCAGACTATCCTGCATCCAACTTCCAGCACTGGTGGTGTGGTACAGCAGTCCCTGTCCAAATCACATGGCAAAGTGCTTTGTGCTGGAGCAGCTGAAACCAAACTGGAGGCGCTACGGCAAGCAGAAAATTTGGTAATTCCACTGATCAAGGATTCCACATCAGTTATGCTATAGCACAATGAAGGGCAGGGGAGAGCTTGAGGCACCTGAGTGAAAAATCCGGAGTTTCTCAGACCATTTTCTGTGTGCTTCTGCCCAACCTCCCTGACTCGAGTGCCCAGGAAATTTACATTTCCTTACGCTCACATGAGCAGGGGGAAATTTCTTTCCCTGGGGAAACCTGTCTTCATCTGCTTCAATGATTGTTCACTGGTATCTTTAGAAATCCTGCCTCATGCCTGGAATTTTACATCCAAGCATGTAAAAGATGATTTAGAAATTACTGAGTAGCTGAGTCAGACCATGTGACCTGCTGGGTTTTTCTGAAGAGTATTAGGTTCGGGTTCGGCAGGAAAGGGTAGTCCTGCTTGGGCTTTCATTTTCCTTCAGGCAAATTTTTCCTCTTATTTTCTTATACATCTGTGACCCTGTATGTGAGATCTATCTGAGGAAAATGCCTCAGCTTCTTTGTGTGTTTGTTTTCTGGCATTCTAGGTCTTTTGTGTCATCTGTATTTTGGTGGTGAGATGGTGTCTGCTGTGAACCTTTCCTGAGGCACCTTGACTGACTTGAGAGGGCCAAACAGAGAACTTAGAGTTACAAATGTCATATGTGTATGTCTTTTCCCCTTATTATTTATTAATTAGATAACAACAAACCCCCCAAGATTTGAAGTTTGCAATCTGTCACACTGAATGACAGATATGGAATAAAGGGCTGTAAATAGAAATGCAACCATGAGATCCACAAACAGTGCCTTTCTTCTAGCAAGCTACAGCAGTGTCTGGGTCAGCTCTCTCCAAAAATATTCATTCTCTGTAGTTTAGTTTCATGTGCAGTTCTGCAAGCCTAACTTTTCTTGCTGTGGGAAGGTTCACTGGAATTGGTGCAGCTGCCTCATCCCCTCGGTCTGAAGCTGCTTGTGTTTGCTATTGGTCACCAGTAGCAAGAATGGAAATGGCATTTGTTCCTTTCTAGAAGTGCTGGATATGGAGTTGAGGGTCTTTTCTGAGCTGGCCCTGCACTGGGCAGGTGTTACAAAGGTCACTGTGCCAGTGCCTTAACAAAGGAGTGTTAATGAGTCACAAAGTTGCACACTCAGTTTTCTGAGAAAAAGGATGAGAGGCAGAGCCCTGCGGTACCACAGCGCTGCTTCCTCACGGCGCAGGAGATGATGATCCCATTCCTGTATTTTTTGTGCGGCCCATGATTCTTGCTGCAGGGTAGCACAGTTGCAACATCATGATGGTGAATGTTTTTTTCCACCTACAATACTGATGAAATCTCTGTTTGGGAGGCAGGAGAAGCACCTGTGTGCTCTGCCTCAAAAGGACCTGGCACATGGAGGCTCCTGTAGCACAAGCAAGTGCTGCAGCAAAGCACAGTTGTATAACACACCTAAACCCATCACTAGCACTTCTTTCTCTCTCTCCTGAATTTTCTGTTAGCCAGCTTGACCTCCCTCTGTTCATCCTGTTGGCTATTCTGGATCCCAGTGCTGTGCATTTAATGCTCCACCCTTGCAGCAGTCCATCTGAAATTCACTAGTGGAGATGCTGAGCTCTGCATCCACAGAGTCCCTGAGCCTCCAGCACAACATTTCTGCTTGACTCAGAGCTTGGTTCAGAGTTTCCAGCAGTCTGCAGGAATCCAGAATTGCATTCCTTCCTTTCTGTGCCCTTTGACCTGTGCACAATACAATCAGAAGTCATTTACTGATCTGGTTTGATGGAAAATATATGCCTTTATGTATTCCTGGGGTTTCCTCATGTGTGTAGTAACTGCATAGGAAATGAAATAATCTCCAGAAGGGGAAGTAGTATTGGAAAAAAGAAAAAAGAAAAGAAGAAACAGACAGGATGCTGCCCAAGCCATGATCAGGAGTTCGGGTGCCTCAATGTGCAGCAGCACCAAAGTGACCATTGTGGTTTCATTGCTTTAGTTGCATTTTTAAGAAAAAACTAATTGCAGCAGGACTAGTCAGGGACTTTCCAGTATTGCAGCTCATGCATTGTCTTTCCTTTCAAATAAACACCTTTTTGCATTAATCATCGTAAGTGGCTGAAAACCAATCACTAGCCATGAACCAAAGAGTTACTCAAACAGATATTTTATTTAATGTGACAAGGGCAAGACTTCAGGGCTGAGCAGAAACAGTAGTTGAGCATAAGGAAGTGGAGATGATGCTGAGGAGTAGCACTTGCTCATGCTCCCACCCTGATTCCCTGGTCTCCCCTTTGCCAGCTTCTATCCCCTCAGCTGTCCCTAAACTAGAAGCCTGAGTTCTGG